TTACTTTGTTCTTTGTAGTCCGTGTCTTGGAGGTATGAACAAATACTTGTAAATGTTTAACTGTGTTTTCACATTCATTCACTTCAAAGTTGGTAACAAGTTACTATTACATGCTACAGTTAGGATATTATTGTTAGGAGGCATGGTTTCTGGATTGTTGCAACACTTAACATGGTCATGTCCCTGGAACACTGTCAGCTACAAATACCTACTGCCAAAATTTACAACACAATTGGCACTGCACCAAAAAAAAAAAAAAAAAATCAAAACCGACAAGTCGACAGCCGGAGTTTGTCTTTTCGTAGTTTATGATTATTCAGATTTATTTGATATAGTCCGAATCACATTGGCATATTTTGTTTTGCTTTAGTTGGGGTTTATTTTTTAAACATTTTCACGTTTTTTTACCATTTGACAGAACGAGCTGACTGCTAGAATAATGTAATTTTATAAAAAACACTGTTTATTTTTTCCAATAATTCAAGCTTTCTGAAGCTGAGATTTTTAACATAAGACATTTTTCATTATTTCAGGTTTGTTTTGTACCTGATGTCAAGGTAATTAATCTTTTGCTTGTTAAGCCACTAAAGGGTGACCTATGAATCATTGAAGCACATAAAAGAATTCTAGCTCGATAAATTACCTGATATGTTTGCACAAAAGACAGTTTTAGATTGGATCACTTGGTTCTTGCATCCTGTTTCAGACTTAATTTGTTCAACTGCATCTACGAGAAAAGTAGGGCAACAAATTTATTTGACTTGATCAATTAGTGCTAAACAACAGTTATGGAAATTGAGTGTAGCACCAGAAGTCTGTTACAATAAACGATGAACAGTTTAGATAGCTTCATTTTTTTTTCATCTCCAAGAAATAGCTTGTTTGGACATACAGTGAACCTCCTAAATCTGTTACTGAAAACACGTTAGTTTAAAATAAATACAAGAAATTGCATGTAACACTCCTCAGTTTTTGTCTGTTTAGAATGGGAGGAAAATACATAAAATTAAGTGAAAGAAATGTATCTTAACTATGAAAAGATTATGAATGCCTCAGTTTAAATTTTGTTAACTAAAGGACAAAGGACGTGGGTTTGAAAATCATTACATCTACAGGAAATGTAGACATTTAAATATTTAAAATATTTATTAAACAAATAGGTTTACCGATGATGTAATTTAATTTGTTTAGAGTAAGATCATATGGCCTCAATGACACGGCCAAAAATTATGCAGAAGTTACAGTAATTCAACAAAAATTCAACTTTGACAATTAAGTACAGCAAAACCAAAAAAATAAATAAAAAAAATCTAACAACAAATGTCTATATTGCATTGCTGATTTATCAAGATCTATATTAGAAAACTGGAGCATAATTTATCTAACTGATTGGCTAATACAACAGCTTTAACACTTAGAATGAAAAAGCATACAATTTTGAGACGGCAAGTGCCTTGTCCTGTTTTGCCTTCTGAACAGATAATTTGCTTGGTTTACACGTGGTCGTTTTTCTTTATAAATACAGGTTTCCCAGATAACCTTGTCATGTTTTATGCTTCTGCGATGTTTCCTTTCATTGGTATCAAAGTTGAATGACATTTGTTATCTTAAAAAACAAATGAATTCATTTAAAATGTCAGTTTCAAACATACCTTTAGATTTTTATACTTTGAGTATAGTGTAGTCTAAGCAGGTATAATAAAATATTAATAAAAATAACCTCATGGCTAACCTCACGGCTGAAAGTGAAGCTGATACTTTTTTATGTATGTTTCCAGGGTAAATTTGCTCCTAACAGTCCTGTTTGTCAGTGATGATGTTTGCCAAAGTAATTCCAAACACATTCACAATTATAAAACAGCTATTCTAATTTATTACTGTGGACTTTTCACAACCACAGATTCCATAATAACAAAACTTGCTGTCACAAGTGCATAATTTTTCACCACTGATCCCAAATAAAAAAAGTTCACAGTTACCAACGTCTTTTTAGACAACTGAAGGAAGTTACAGTGGAATTTCAACCATTTTCCACTCGGCTGAGTAGGAAAATGTTTAACTGGCTTTTTGACCTCAAATGTTACTGAGATGTAAATTCAACACTGTTGTGTAAACAGTGAACATGCATCTTCTTTTAATGACCCAAAGGACTGTAAAAACACATTTCCAAAGTTACAACTGTTATTTAAAATCACTGTTATAATTTCTTTACCTTGGAATTTACTAAATGCTTATTTTGTTTCAGTTTGACTTTCCAGATTACAAAACTTGTCACAAGTTTTTCTTTTGTTTCTTGTTCACAACAAACCTTTGTGCATGATATCAACTGAAGATGATAGTTTTGGAAAATGGCTTGAACTGATATGGTACTTTATCAAGTTTCTACAGATTCCAAATGCTTTACACTTCAATCATTCATCCGTTCACATACATGTCAAGTTGTACGGATTGTAAATTACACTGACTTGCAACCCACCATCCCCACTCCCATTGCATATGTGTAATACAGATTTGTTTTGAAAATTATGCGTTTTTGAGGGTCATGATACAGGTAAACATCCAAAGGGATGTATGCATTCATACACACATTCACACACTGATGATGGTAAGCTACAGCTGCCCTGGAGCACACTGACATCAAGTAAAACCAAAATATTTATAATGTTTTCTGAAAAAATAGAAGATGACTTTTCAAAAATTATTCGTATCATAATACAGTATAATCAATGTTTCTTTAAAATTGATGACTTTTGGTATTTGAGTCAGGCCTGCAGCTAAATGTGGTGTATCAAAACACAGAAATGAATGTTGTAACATATTTTTAATGAAAGAAACCAAACTTTGGTGTAGACTTGAAACACTAATCATTTCTCTGTCTTGCTTCTAAATAGTGCTTATTATTTTTTTTTTCCAAGTGGTCTTTCTCAGTCTATTTTTAGGCACTTTGTTACTAGCAGCCTGTCACAAAAACACAATTTCTTCTAAGCTCTTTAGGTGCATCTAACCGCTGAATCAGTTGCTGCATCTCCCAGGTCCTGTGTCAGGTCCTTTTTGGATAATTTGTTTCTTGGTGACATTCCTTTCAGACTTAGATTTTTATCATAGTTGTTAAGTTTTGCTACTCTTTCTTTCGCCCTGCCAGTGCCAGGAATTTAGTACCACTTTGGGAATTCCCTTGTGGATTTAAAATACCTTTTTTATGTTGTGTGTTTAAAATATTTTTTTAAAGATGTAACTAATGCAACAGATTTTTGGAACAAAGTTACTCAAAGTAAAAATGTCCTTTTTTTTACAAGTCTTTATTATGAGAAGACAACACTGAATACTTTATGTCAGAATGATTCAGAGGTCATTGTCACTTTTTTGTGGGGGGTGGCACAAACGTTAACATCCTTGGAACCCACAATCTGAAGAAACTAAAATGTACAGTGAGATTTGCACAATACTGCATTAGTGTTATGTTCCTCAGTGGTCCAGAGTCTACCACTGTGCCTTTATTTAGCAGCAGTAATTTAATGTGAGCTAATTATCCACCAGACTGATATTGGCTTGCCAGCATGGCAAACAATAGTTTCTGCAAAAGCTATTCAACTTAAAATATTTCGTTTTAACACACAACCTGACCTGTGCCTCACTGTTGATATGAGCCCTCTGCCTGGAAAAACTGTCCAAAAGCAATCTTTGCATGGTTATTGGGAGGTGGGCATTTCAGTTTATGCATTTTTTTCTTGCTCAATAAAAGCTTATTGTGTGCATTTGTTTTATGTTTGTTAAACATTTGCCATTTTTGTGTTGTACAACCCCAACACAGCAGGAGTTTCAAGCTATGTAGATCTGTGAGGCTTCCTTTTGCACATAATGCTCTCAGGCTGAATTTGCTGTATTTATTGCTGTTACTTTTCTGTGCGAGTTGGTTTTGAGGATAACAAATCTGAGTATGTAAATAAACTACATATTGAAATTAGCAATGGATAATAATAAAAAAGGCTGTGGAAATTAGTAATATATATACTGTATATAACACTTAAATCGAGATATGAAATTTCTTTCTAGCTTGTTTAAATTTAGGTATGTTAAATAGGAGATTTTTTACTGCCTTAAATATTTCATGCCCATTAAATGACAAATGAAGGGAAAAAAAAACTAACAAAAAATGTATGTTGCATATTTTGCTTCTACACGTAATCCAGAAGAAGCTGAGAGTTGTTGAACACAAGTGACGTCACACATTGATCCACCTCTTTCAGGAAATTCAAACTCTGATTTTTATGTAGTTTGTAGTAAATGGCATGTTTTGGCCTCATGTACAAAAATGTTTAGAAATGTGAAGGTTATTCATACTGCATATAACATATCAAATTATATAGTCATTTGAAAGTAAAGTTGACTTCATATGACCTTTTAAGCGTTACACAAACATTCATTTTATTTTAATCACAGGTACAGGTCAGCTATTTGTGCTGCAAACCAATAATGTTTTGTTTCAATGTTACCCATTTTAGGATTGTTTGCTGAGGCTTGTTGGTCATGTGTCAGACCCAAAGAAAGGTGCATTTGGACTATGAAGAGGCTTGTTGCTGTAATGGTGCACTATTATTAGAAGGCAGATTTTCCCGCCCTCCTATAATATCAGTCATTCTGACATAACTCTGTTTTGCTTGGTTGGATTTGAGCTCTTTCTCTCAACAAGGCCTTTTATAGCCCTGTGGTAAGGTGGCAAGTTGTGTAATTTAGGCCTTTCTTAAATTGGAGTGTTTGGGTGCTACAAAGCTGTGGGTTTGAGCCTTTAAAGGTCAGTTATTAAGACTTAATCAGTGAGCTGTTTTTCTTTGGAAAAAAAAAAGAAAAGCTTCATTTGATTATTTCTGCAATTAGCATTTCACTGCTATAGAAAAAGTAACTTGTATCTGTTATACATATTAAACTATTACTGTCATATTCAAGCATGTGTATTCAGACAGGTCAGTAAAGTCTTTGCCTCTATTTTATTCTTTAAACAGAAACGCAGGCTCAGAGGAGGTGGAGTCATGAGTGCACAGGAGGCACCCAAGCCTGGGAAGGAACAGGCAGACAGTGGGAATGGGAATGCAGCCACAGATGCCTCAACAACCAAGAGTAGTAGTCCACCACCAGTTGCTGTAAAGAAAGAGCCCGGGACATCGGAGAAAAGCAACGGGAAAGTTGGAGACGTCAACCCTGCTGAGATCTGCGTTGTCATTGGAGGAAAGAATGGAGGAACCAGCGGAGGCGGACCCCGTAGAGCTCCGGCCGAGGGTATGTTTGCCCTTGGTACTCCTCCTCCAACGAAGAGCACAGACTCATGTATAGGTGTGTGACTGTGTATTGACATACCTGCATTTTAAAAGAACGTTTTCTGGTGCTAATTGTCAAAAGCAGTTAGTGCAGCTTATACCCAGTGATCAATCATCAATGACCAGTTTTTATTCCAACACGGTTATAAACAACATCTAACTTAACACAATATTGTTTGCATCCTAACTGCATTACTAATATGTGATTTGGCAAAGATCAGACATTTTAGCTGACAGAAACTTGTGTATTAAAAGTTGGTCATTATATTCTTATGTTTTAGATTAAGTTGAAGCTTTTCATTACAAAAGATTTAAATATTAGTAATTCTGGCAAAAATAATAATAAAAAAAGTTTTATGATAAAGTCAATTTAGGTGATTCAACTACCACAATTTTGTGTTGTTGTTTTTTAAAAATATTTTTATATATATTCTCAGTTACTACCAGCAGTGCTGCTAGTGGAATGTGTTAGACAGGTATCAGCTTAAATTGTTTTTCAATGATTTTATATTAATTTTCCTTTTTTTTCACGAGCTATCAAAAATAGTCACACACACACACACACACACACACACACACACACACACACACACACACACACACACACACACACACACACACACACACAACTTTGGAAAGCTAGCTTTATGGCTTTTATAGTAAAGTTCAAATATAGCCTTCCTTCATTGCTCAAAGCTTGCCTTTGTTCAGTAAATTTAGCACTGATGTCACAATTCCTAACTTCTGGTAAAGGGGAAGATTTCAGTGGAATATGAAGCTTTCAACACAAATCCAGACATCAAAATAATGTAGAGGATGATCATCGTGGCATTATGACAGCAACATTTTTTTTTTTACTGAGTACTTTTCATCGTCAGTGCCAAGTGGATCTTAAGTTGCAGTGATGTAACAGAGGACTGTTATACCTGTAATATTTTTTTATTTTCATTCCTAATAAAACCATTGTTTTTTTTTATTATATCTTTGCTTTCTGCAGGCTCATATGTATGTGCGGTGTGTGGGAAGAAGTACAAGTATTATAACTGCTTTCAGACACACGTCAGAGCACACAGAGGTAAGATACTGCAGTGTTTTGTACAACAAGTAATACTGTGTTTCCAAAATAGTTAGGACTGTAAAATGTACATACAAATAAATACACTGATATTCAGATTATATGAGCCCTGTGTATACATATACAATAAATTAGAGAAGCATGTGTCAAATTTTGAAATTAGGCACATTTTTAAAATATAGTTTTATTTATTTATTTATTTAAATGTTGGAATAGAAGTGTATTTCTTACCATGTTGCATCACCTCTGTAGACAACACTGTCAATGTGTTTGGGAACATTTGAGCTCATTTTTGGTGATCTTGAAAATGTTTTCCAAATCCAGTTCTAGGCACAAAATTTTAGGTTTTCAGCAGTTTCAAAACAATGAAAACATCCATGTTTGTGCACATGCTGGATGTTATCGCAATAAAATGTTTATGAACGGAAATTACTAGGCAGAAGGAAGGAAATGGTGAAGATGTTCGTTTCTGTATGGCATGTTTTAAACATATGGGAACTTTAAATACCTAAGTGCATGAACAGAGAAGTTGGGGACTTTTTCAGTTCTTTTTTTGCTGTTCTTTTGCCTTTTGAGGGAAGGTTTTAGTTTTGATATGAATGCAGGAAAAGTTTCAGAACATTGAATTTCAAAAGTGTTCTTAGTGCATGCAATGATTTGCACAATAGAAACACATTTAAAAAAGGGACTATGGTGCTGCCTGAGGTACTAAAGATTTCTCTTTTGTCTAAAGTAATGTACCCATGATCACGTGAGATGGTTAAGTTATGGTTTTCTTTCGTAAATGTGCTGAGATGGAAATCTGAAATCTGGATTATAAAGGCCTTTGCACTTTGTTATGACTTACTTTCCTGTTTGTAAAATTGTAGATGAAATTATAAAATAAATAAAAATAAAATAAATAAAAATGTTCCCTTCTGCAACAAATGTAGCATCAAAGCTAAACCAGTGTATGTGATGGCAAGTTAGCATGGCTGTGCATGCCACAGTAGGTCCATATTTTGTTATCAAGCCTCTGATTCCTTCATGCCAACTAGGGTTGGGCATAATCGTATTGTGTGCAATTAGTCATCAGAAAAACATTAATTGATTATTTTTTGGCACTTGACGGTTAATACGATTAATGCCACCAGGGAGACTGACCAGGGAGACTCCAGTCAGTCTGCTCGATGCTCCTCTCCGCTTCAAATATGACAAACATTAAAAAAAAAAGTTCTGTAATTTTTTTATTTATCAACAATTTAAAATTTGAGTATGGCCTGAAGTCTGTAATTTTGACACAATTTGGAACAGATTTTTACGAAGAGCAAATCTTTCCTACTAAATTGGTCATGTGACTAGGACATAAGGTTGTCCAAGGACTTCAGGGGATTAATCGTCAAAATAATCGTTATCGGCTAAATACCACAATTAATCGTGATTAATTTCTTTGCCAACATTGCCCAACCCTAATGCAACATGCTTTTAAAAAAGTAGCTACTTAAACTTCTGTGCTTTTCTCTGTTTGAACAAGTTAATATGAGGAACAGCAGCTTAGCAGCAGTATTTTTTAATGGAGGGTTGAATAAAGGTTTTACTGTCATAAAAATAATATTTATATGAAAGATTTGCATCTTTGAGAACATGTTTGCTCAAATCTATTCAAGCACACCCAAATATTTTTTGTCATTATAGAATCAGAGAGCATGGTTGGAGATGGTCTGCCTCAGACACCCAATAGTAAGTACACTTTTGTCCTTTATACACCAACAAATCTAGCTTTATTTGCATGGAAATTGGTTGGCTAACTTGTTTTTTTATAAATATACTTTATAGTGGGTAATTTTAGGTTTAGCTTAAAATTATGAATGCAACATTAAACTGACTATGGTCGTATTTGAAAGTATGTTATTCAACAAAAATTTGCTAGAAAATAAAAGTTAAATTTAGGGTTGAAAATGCTGAACATCAACCCTCAGAGACCCAGATTTATCAGGCTTCCTTAACATGAAAACCAAAGTTTGATTTGGACTAAAAATACTTGTGCCTCAGAGTAGTACTTGAGTTATTTATACATCTACCTACACACACTCACTGCAGTCATTATGTGGATGTGCAAACTGCTTAAAGGCAACAACATTAACTTAGCAGAGAGAAAGAAAAAAATACAGTTTATGCAGACAGAAAAAGAGCAGTTTTAGATGTACGAAACATACAAGCATAATATAACCTACAAGTATGTGACAGTGTTAAAATGTAGGCCAAGCAAGGCAGCATAGTGAAGAGATCATGATTAGATTAAATTCTTGTGAGAATAGAACATGCTGCAAAGCACTTTTGGTTGTGCTGCGTATTTATACTTGATCATGTTTGGCATATCAATTTACCAATGTATTTTTAAATGCAATGTAAACTGGCAAAAAGGGATTAAACAGAGTTACTGCTTCAGGACAAAACGTGAAATTTTATTGACTTGATTAGAATAGGTTAAAATTCTGGGCTGGGATTCATAAAACTAAATCTAGTATCTGGTCACATGCCATATAAAAGTCACCAACCGGAGTGTCCAGTTTAGTAAGTAGTCTCTGTAAACTTCACTGTTTGGCAAACCAAGTCTCAACCAGCTCATATAAATAATGACCAAAGAATTTGACCAGGAACCAGACCAATTAGCACAGAGGCTTGGTCTTAGCAGAGCTACCAAGGTAAATGTTCAAAGTGGGGTTCTCTAGAGACGTTATGAACACTTATCTTTCTTTTTGAAGATAGGTCTTGGATTATGGAAGCAATTGTGTTCCATAATGGTACTTAAAATGGATCAATAGAAATGCTGTTTCATTTTCAGCATGTACCTGAATTTTTTCACTCATAAGTAAAATTACAAACAAATAATCCAAACTGTATGTTCATTTTCTTCTCCAAGACTGCTCAAAGTGTAAATCAATTAAAATGTTTAATAAAACAGACATTGACAATTCATTTTCAAAACATGTCCTGGTAAAAAGTGACCAAAATTAATTTTGAAAAGTYAAATYRGAAAATTATARTGCATTAGCAGAAAAGCTTTTTCATTTCAAAGTCAAACCTGCATTTTTAACTCATAAATATAATTAGAAATCAATCTTCCAAACTTTGCTTCCATTTTCATCTTCAAGACTGCTCAAAGTGTAAATTAATTAAAATGTTCAATAAAACAAACTTTGACATTTAATTTTCCAAACATGTCCTGGAAAAATGTGACCAAAATTCATTTTGAAATGTCACATAGGAAAATTATAGTGCATTAGCAGAAATGCTTTTTCATTTCAAAGTCAAACCTGCACAAAAACACTAGTGGAGTCTCTGGCGTCCTCACACAGCGGCAGCAGGGATGACTAATCTAGCCTTTATATAAAAGGTCTATGTTCACAACCCTGAAGCGGCGCAGGGGAGTGATGTCACGGGCAAGGCGGTGTGTATTTCTTTCCCGCTGGATAAACTTAATTTAATTGATTTAATTAATATAATTTTACTTATGAGTCAAAAAATTCAGGTACATGTTGAAAATGAAACAGCATTTCTATTAATCCATTTTAATTGCCATTATGGAGCACAACTGCTTCCATATCGGATCGGTTCTGAAGAAATACAGTTTAATTCTGATTGGACTGATAACTAATAACCAGTTAAACCATTGTCAAGACCAAAGTGGCTTTCTGATATCCAGTAAAATGCCAATTTTAAAAATTCTTAGTGGTTAATGCAAAATCTGTTGTACAAATCTTTACACCACTGTCAGTTCTGACTTACATAGTTATTTTTGTAGATATCTATGGTTATTTTCAAGCACAAGTAGCAGAAGAATCAGATAATTCTGATGGAATTAAATGCAAAACTAATAGCGGTGTAAAGGTTTGTAAGAAGTGAACTGCTGTGGGCTGCACGGTTGAGCAGTTGGAAAGCACTGTTGCCTTGCAGCAAGATCTCGCATCCGATTCTTGGTTAAGGTCTTTCTGCATGGATTTAGCATGTTCACCAGATGCACGTGTAAGTTTTCTCTGGGTGTGAATATGAATATGAAAATGAACGGCTGTTTGTGTCTATGTGGCCTTGAGATGGACTCGGATTGCCAAGTCTTAGCACTGAGGACAGCTTTTAGGTTTTAAAATCACCAAAGACATAATGGGTTTGTTAAATATTCCTCCTTCTTGCCCCTCTTGCTTAAGCATTTTTGTTAAAAGTTCGTACAAGCCACACAAGTTGTTTCAGTCCATAGTTCCTGTTCAGTTTCACTACAAGATCTTGTACAGATGCTGGGAGAGTTGGACCTCTATCTCACCAGCGTGTCTCAAAGATTTTCAAGGTTGTTGTATTTTTTTTTATTTTTAAATTTAGTGGTGCTGAATCCATGTGTGAAATTGAAGTGTCATCTTCCTGAACCAGACTTTCACAGTTTGAGTCTGATGGGTCCTGGCATTGTCATGTTGTAATATACTTATG